ACGTTTAATTTTATTTTATTTTAAAATAAATAAATACAACACAATACCATAAAAAATGTAATAGTTTAAAAAAACATTCTGAAGAACAGCACGTACCTTGAGGTATCTGAAACTCATCCTAGTGCCACTTTTTTTTTCCAAACTGTGCAATCAAGAATGGCTTCTTTTCTGCTGAGCTTTCCAAACACCCTCCATATTTCACAACATCAGCTTGAAGTCAGGCACACGACTGGCCCAAAAAATGAGCAAACCTGTGCTACCCATCTGTGCTTTTATTTCCATCTCGCCATGCATGACTATTGTATTTCAGCCTGTCTGAATACCAACGACAGAGAGAGAGAGAGGCTTATATTGTAGAGTAGCCCATTTTATGAATATAAATGCCACAAGCTAAGAGGTAAAGAATGGAACATAAGTTTTATGTAAATACATATGCATGTACACTCACCGGCCACTTTATTAGGTACACCTTACTCGTACCTGGTTGGACCCACTTTTGCCTTCAGAACTGCCTTAATCCTTCATGGCATAGATTCAACAAGGTACTGGAAATATTCCTCAAAGATTTTGCTCCATATTGACATGATAGCATCACGCAGTTGCTGCAGATTTGTCGGCTCCACATCCATGATGAGAATCTCCCAATTCACCACATCTCAAAGATGCTCTATTGGATTGAGTACTGGTGACTGTGAAGGCCATTTGAGTTCAGTGAACTCATTGTCATGTTTAAGAAACCAGTCTGAGCTGATATGCTTTTTATGACATGGCAAGTCATCCTGCTGGAAGTAACTATCAGAAGATAAGTACACTGTGGTCATAAAGGGATGGACATGGTCAGTAACAATACTCAGGTAGGCTGTGGTGATGCTCAATTCTGCTGCTGTAGCCCATCCGCCTCAAGGCTGGACGTGTTGTGCATTCAGAGATGCTATTCTGCAACCAGTCTGGCCATTATCTTCTGATCTCTGGCATCAACAAGACATCTGCACCCACAGAACTGCCGCTCACTGGATATTTTCTCTTTTTTGGACCATTCTCTGTAAACCCTAGAGATGGCTATGCGTGAAAATCCCAGGAGATCAGCAGTTTCTGAAATACTCAGACCAGCCCGTCTGGCATCAACAGCCATGCCATGTTCAAAGTCACTTAAATCGGCAACTCAGATCTTCATGACCATGTCTACATGCCTACATGAGCTGCTGCCATGTGATAGGTTGATTAGAAATTTGTGTTAAGCAGTTGGACAGGCATACCTAATAAAGTGGCTGGTGAATGTGTACTGTATGCATTATAATGTATAAATTCCTTTATATGTTATTTTTGTTTTATTGTTGTTCTATATTTTTCATCAATATTGTTTTTACTACTAATATTTAAATTTAAATAATATATTTTTATATTATATATATTTCCCCCATGCAACATGTACCCATGCATGCCATGCCAATAAAGTGGATAGAATTTGACTTTTAAAGTGAGAGAGAGAGAGAGGAAGAGAGAAAGAGAAAGAGGGTCTGAAGATTGAATGCTGTGCAGCCACCTATAGGGACAGTCATCATAACTTTATCAGGTGGCCATAAATCGTCTACGCCACATCTATGCCAAGTGTGTTGGCATTGACTTTCAAATGAGGGCTGTCTATCATTCGCAATGTTCAGTGCGGCTCATGGTGTGACAGTTTCCCAGCAGGCTGAGCGTTTCGAGGGTCTCCTACTGCATCTAAACTGTGCTCAGTGATTGTGTACTGATCAGTGGTGTTGTGTATTCAGAGCAGGATCTTCTTTATTTCTGTGTCTCTGTACACAATGGAAGGCTAGAGCGCTGTGATTGCAGGCATTTGTAGTCTTGGAGTTGTAATTTATGTCGTCCTGCACAATAAAGTCTGGTTAATTTTTGGTCATTGAAAACGTACTGAGCATTTCAGATTGCCTGAGTGGCTCGGCTCGACTGTAAATATGACAATATAGAGAAGAAATGAGGCATCAAATGTGCAGTTATCAGTGTGTTTATGTTTTTATTTTTGTTTAATAAGTTAAAGTAAGTTTGTAAACAAAAAAATGTTTTAAATGAAATGGAATATAAACTCTGTATCATAAAGTGTGCTTAACTGAGTGTAATTTTTTTTTGTGTTATTGGAAAAATTGATGATATGAATATGAATGATTTATTATGATATGATATGATATATATATATATATATATATATATATATATATATATATATATATAT